CACACACACACACACACACACACACACACACACACACACACACACACACCGGGTTTCTCTGTGTAACTGCTCTTGCTGTCTTGGAACTCACTGTACACCAGACTGGCCACAAACTCACAAGATTCGCCTGCCTCTGCCTTCCAAGTGCTAGGATTAAAGTCGTGCGCAACCAGCGCCCCGCAAAAGAAGGAGTTTGTTAGGAAAATAAACCTGTAGCTGAAAATCTTCCAGTTCAAGCCAGGCAAGAATGAATAATAATCCACTGTGGGACAGATCCTTGTCAAGGTTCAGAATAACCTTAGCGTCAGTTAAGGACTTGAGTGACTTGAGAGAGGAGAATCAATTCAGCCACAGAGAGCAGTGAGGTAACCTCAGCCTTCTCCTTAGTACCATAATGCCAGCAGCAAAGCAACACCATTATCTGTGTCCATAATTGAACCTTACTACTCCAGAGGGGGAGGAAAGAGAAGTGCTACAATTTCAAGACTAGTCTTGCCGTTAAGTAGTGAGTTCCAAGCCATCCTGGACCACAGAATAAAACGTCTTTTTTTTTTAAAATGTGCATTAGGGTATTCACTGTGTCATAGGTCTTTCTGAAGGTGTCAGCCCTCTGGAAATGGAGTTACAGGTGGTTGTGAGCTACCGTGTGGTCCCCTTGAAGAACCAATGCTCTCAACCACTGAGCCATCTTTCCAGCCCCATCTTTTCTTTTTTCTTTCTCTCTTCCTTCATTTCTTAATTTTTAAAAAACTATGTTACAGTTTTGTAGATTGGTTCTCCTATGCCTCTCTTTTTTAAAATTGATTTTACTGAGCTATACATTTTTCTCTGCTCCCTTTTCTTCTTCTCCCTTCCCCTTCAACCATTTTCCATGGTCTTCAGCCTCCCAATTTATTCAGGAAATCTTTTTTTTTCTATTTCCTATATAGATTAGATCCATGTATGTCTCTCTTAGGGTCCTCATTGTTGTCTAGGTTCTCTGGGATTGTGAATTGTAGGCTGGTTTGCTTTGCTTTGTGTCTAAAAGCAACTTATGAGTGAGTACATAAGATATTTGTCTTTCTTTGGGCAATGGTGGCACATGCCTTTAATCCCAGCACTCAGGAGGCAGAGGCAGGCGGATCTCTATGAGTTCGAGACCAGCCTGGTCTATAAGAGCTAGTTTCAGGACAGGCTCCAAAGTTACAGAGAAACCCTATCTCAAAAGAAAACCAAAAAAAGAAAAAAAGAAAAAGAAAAAGAAAAAAGAAAGAAAAAAATGATATTTCTCTTTCTGGGTCTGGGTTACCTCACTCAAGATGATGTTTCTAGATCCATCCATTTGCCTTCAAATTTCAAGATATCATCATCTTTTCTGCTGTGTAGTACTCCATTGTGTAAATGTACAACAGTTTCCTTATCCATTCTTCCAAGGAGCGTTTAGATTGTTTCCAGGTCCTGGCTATGACAAACAATGCTGCTGTGAACATAGTTGAGCACATGTCCTTGTGGCACGATTGAGCATCCTTTGGTTATGTACCCAAAAGTGGTATTGCTGGGTCTTGTAGGTTGTTTCCTAATTTTCTTAGAAATCGCCATACTGATATCCAAAGGGGCTGTATCAATTTGAATTCCCACCAGCAATGCAGAGTGTTCCTTTTTCCCCACATCCACTCCAGCATAAGTTGTAATCAGTGTTTTTGATCTTGGCCAATCTTACAGGTATAAGATGGAATCTTGGAGTTGTTTTGATTTGCATTTCTCTGATGACTAAGGGTGTTGAACATTTCCTTAAGTGTCTTTCAGCCATTTTAGATTCCTCTGTTGAGAGTTCTCTGTTTAGGTCTGTACTCCATTTTTTTAATGGGATTATTTGTTCATTTGATGACCAATTTCTTGAGTTCTTTGTATATTTTGGAGATTAGACTTCTGTCTGATGTGGGGTTAGTGAAGATCTTTTCCCATTCTGTAGGCTGTTGTTTTGTCTTGTTGACCATGCCCTTTGCTTTACAGAAGTTTTTCAGTTTCAGGAGGTCCCATTTATTAATTGTTTCTCTCAGTGTCTGTGCTGCTGGGTTCTATTTAGGAAGTGGTCTCCTGTGCCAATGCACTTCCCACTTTCTCTTCTGTAAGGTTCAGTATGGTTGACTTTATGTTGAAGTCTTTGATCCATTTGGACTTGAGTTTTGTGCATGGTGATAGATATGGGTCTATTTTCATTCTTCTACATGTTGACATCCAGTTATGCCAGCACCATTTGTTAAATATGCTTTCTTTTTTCTATTTGATATTTTTTGCTTCTTTGTCAAAAATCAAGTATTCGTAGGTGTGTGGATTAATCTCTGAATTGTCAATTCAGTTCCATTGGTCCTCCTGTCTGTTCTTATGCCAATACCAGGCTGTTTTCAGTACTGTAGCTCTGTAGTAGAGGTTTAAGTCAGAGATTGTGATGCCTCCAGAAGTTCCTTTATTGTACAGGATTGTTTTGGCTACTCTGGGTTTTTTGCTTTTCCATATAAAAGTTGAGTACTTTTTTTTTGAGGTCTGTGAAGAACTTTTCTGGAATTTTGATGGGCATTGCATTGAATCTGTAGATTGCTTTAAGTAATATTGCCATTTTTACTATGTTAATTCTACCTACCCAAGAGCATGGGAGATCTTTCCACTTTTTGGTATCTTCTTCAATTTCTTTCTTCAAAGATTTAAAGTTCTTGTCATACAAGTCTTCCACTTGTTTGTTTAGAGTCACTCCAAGATATTTTATGCTATTTGTGGCTATTGTGAAGGGTAATGTTTCTCTGATTTTTTTCCTCAGCCCATTTATCATCAGTGTAAAGGAGTTATTCTTATATCCTGCTAAATTGCTGAAAGTGTTTATGAGTTGTAGAAGTTCCTTGGTAGAATTTTTGGGGTTGCTTATGTAAACTATCATATCATCAGCAAATAGTGAGAGTTTGACTTCTTTTCTGATTTGTATCCCTTTGATCACCTTTTGTGGTCTTATTGCTCTAACTAGGACCTCAAGAACTATATTGAATATATATGGAGAGAGTGGACAACCTTCTCTGGTTCATGATTTCAGTGGGATTGCTGTGAGTTTCTCTCCATTTAGTTTGACATTGGCTGTTGGCTTGCTGTATATTGCCTTTATTATGTTTAGGTATGATCCTTGTATCCCTGCTCTCTCCAAGATCTTTATCATGAAGGGATGTTGTATTTTGTCAAAGGCATTTTTCAGCATCTAATGAGATGACTATGTGGTTTTCATTTTTCAGTTTATATGGTGGATTACATTGACAGATTTTTTTTTATATTGAACCATCCCTGCATCTCTGGCATGAAGCCGACTTGATGGCATGGTGGATGATGGTTCTAATGTGTTCTTAGATTTGATTTGCCAGTAGTTTGTTGAATATTTTTGCGTCAATGTTCATGAGTGAGATTGGTCTGTAATTCTCTTCCTTAGTAATGTCTTTATGTGGTAATTGTAGCCTCATAAAAAGAGTTTAACAATGTTCCTTCTGTTTTTATTGTGTGGGACAATTTGAGGAGTATTGATATTAGTTTTTTGTAAATCTTGTAGAGTTCTGAGCTGAAACCATCTGGTTCTGGACTTTTTTTTCTTGGTTGGGAGACTGTTGATGACTGTTCCTATTTCTTTAGCAGTTATAGGTCTATTTAATTTGCTTATGTGATCTTGATTTAATTTTGCTAAGTGATATTTATCCAGAAAGTTGTCCATTTCCTTTAAGTTTTCCAACTTTGTTGAGTACAGGTTTTCAAAACATGACCTAATGATTCTCTGGATTTCCTCCATGTCTATTGTTATGTCTGATTTTCTCTTCATTTCTGATTTTGTTAATTTGGATATTCTCTCTCTGCCTTTTGGTTAGTTTGGATAAAGGTTTGTCTATTTTGTTGATTTTTCTCAAAAAAGCAACTCTTTGTCTCATTGATTCTTTGTATTTTCTTTGTTTCTATTTTGTTGATTTCAGCTC